GGTTGGTTTTATGAGGTTTCTTATATGTGGCAAAAACATTTTAATGTAATGGAGATAATTCCCTTACAGTTCTTTCCCCACTGAGTGATCCAAAATAGAAAAAGTGTTTGATATTCATCACTTTAAAAAGCAGTGGTAAAACAGAAATGCAAAATGAAGGCAGGAGTCCCAAGCAAACTACACCGAAAAAGCCGCAGGCCTCCCACCCCATCTCCACCCTCAAGGCAACCCCAGTCTATATTGGACAAGGAGACATTTAGAAGGTAGATGAACAGACTGTATTTGGAGGGGGAGAACAAGTTGAAACAAAAAGCCTAGAATCTTTCCGGGATTAAAAATCCGAGAGGGCCTATGCTACCATATTTAAGTAAAGGCTGAGTAGCATTCAAAATTCCTGACGAGGCTTGTGGGAGAATGGATCCATGCCTGTGTCCCCGAGTGTGTGCCCGAGTGTGGCCGGGACAGGGTGGACAGCATTAACCACAGTCACATGTTGTACCTGCACGGGAGCACCAGGGACTCCGATTTCCAGAGAAGGGGCTCTACAAGAATTCCAGACAGCAAGGCGCTTTAAAGAAATCCTTGGACCAGGGCCTCCCCCGTGGTGCAGGGGTTAAAGACAGAGCTAGCAAGCTACTGCCAGCCACTACAGCATGAGTTCGATCCCCCACATGGCTCAGCAGATCTCCTGTCGCATCCACTGCTCCCCTCAGCAGTGTATTTCAGTAGATCTTCCCGTTCCACTCTCCACTCTCTCTAATGAATCCTCTCACCACCCGCACCTCCGACTTACACTCCAGTTTTTGTATGCATAAATAAATAAATCTTTAAAAAAAAGATAAAATTGGACCATTTATCAAAGACCATAAGATATTGGGGATGTCTTAGAAAATGCTGGTGAGGAGAGCTAGAAACACTGAAGAACATACAAATGCCCCTTCCCTGACTCACAGCCCCTAAGGAATTGCCCTACAACTTATGCTCAGCTCAGGAAAAATATTTGTGACTTGATGCAAACAGGCCTTGTAACAGATATTAAGTTGAATTGGAGGAAAATGTAAGTCACAATAACCGTAAAGCTGAAGATGTGGCTTATTAGACACAGCATTGCTTATGGAGCCCAAAAAGAGGGAAGACTTGAAAATGGGGAATTAAGATTTCTGTTCAGTATGGGTCACAAAATTGCTGACTAAAAGGTTACAACCCAATCAGGATCTGCTTCCAATTTTCAGTCTGTGGATTAAATACGACACAAATATTTCCAAATTGCAAGAAAGATTTGAAAGGAAGAGAAAGAGCAGAAAGTTGTGCTAAATCAGGAGACTCAAATTCTAGTTCCACTATTATTGTGGGCCATCTGGTGTCATAACACACTGAAAAGTGCCTTGTTTATGGGACTGATTATTGATTATCTTTTATGTTACTAGCGGTTTATTGATTTCAGGCTAAGCTACTGTGTGTGTATGAACAGATACAGTCTATTATTTATATATTATATAAAAATATTGATTGATTGATCAATTTCAGGAGTAAATGAGATAACATATTGTCTTATATTGAATTCCTTAAAGCAGAGTCTGGATTGGCATCTCTTATGCCCATAATTTATTAATACAGGAGAAGCGTGGATGTGGTTCCCCTGGAGTTTTGACTCAGCCTGTCTCACAGGGAGCTCTGGAGCACGAATTGCACCATAGAATTGATCCCTCTCTCCTTAACCCAAGGAGGCCAGACAACTGCCCTTTTATAGCCCAGAATAAGGAAATCAGCAGCTGTGGGATTTCTTCTGGGTGCAATGCACCCTGTTGGACAATGGTGACTTTACTGGCAGAGGCTGATTTTCTGGGAAGAGGGCAACCATGAGCCAAAATTAGCCATACTCACAGCAGCAGGAATTGAGCACTCTGGCCAGAAAAGGGGATCTAGGCTGGAAACCAACAGCGGCTCTCATTAACTCTCCTGGCACATGCTCAACGGTCAATACATGACACAGTTTACAATTATTGTATTCAGTATTTTAATTTCTTTCTCCATTTAATGAGGGTTATAAAACTGGTTGTACCAATTTGGAAATTGAAATAATGGAGCTTAAAGCACCTGTTCAGAGTAAAAAAATCTAAATATAAGGAAGTATTATTTAAAGCCAAGACCCAGGATTTTTTGAGAGTAGTAACTGGGAAACCAGTATGTTATTCTCTTGGTTACATTGGTCTCAAAATACTACATTCCCACATCACTAAACCATAGAGCATGACATTGTGCCATCCTTCCGTCTCTAGGTATAAATGACTGATGATTTCTAGTTGATAACTCTGGGCTTCCATGGCTAAAGAGACACATGGAAAGAGATACCATCTATATTTATGAATCACTAATGTTCCTTTATTCTTGGTTTATATGTAATAACGAAGGGCTGGGTAAAAGGAAGGACTCCTTACATTATTGTGCCTTTGCTCTCCATAAGTTTTCTTCCTAAATGCAGAGTTCGGTCAAAAACCTGGACATGTGGGCATTTCATTTGAATTGGCACAGGCATATACATTCTTACAGAATGAACAAGCAGGAAACCCATCATGAAGTTGCTCCCCACTGCTCCCCTGCACCTGATGTCAGTTTGAAAGCAGTTTAGCTCTGTTAACTACTCACACTAAAAACTTTAGCACTCCTAGGTGTTTCATTTCAACTTTAGTGAAGGTGAAATGCCTGTGTAATGGCGGGTCTACCATACTCCTTACACCTAAGTACTGCATCAGGATGGAGAGTGCAAAGGAGACCAGCAGTTATTTTACCCACTGACTTTCACCTTGTCCCTGGGTTCTGTACCCCTGCCCTCCATCACACCTCCCCTCTTTCCCAGCCTAGTGCCCCTCCAGAATCCTAAAGGCTGGGTTTTCTTCACTTGAATTTCACTGAAATCTCAGTGCATTCTGGACTGTGCTTTTCCCTCTGTCTCGTCCATCAGTGTACTCATTTACTTCCCATTTTATGGGAATTGTTGACATATTTCATCTTTTTATCGCTTTTTCCATTATGGATTTAATTTCACTCTGTTTATACTTCTAATTTTTCAGTGCTAATTTTGGAGAGAAGGGAGGAAAGTACATATGCTCAGCCAGAAATTTTGATTCAGATACACACCCCAGCAACATTTAAAATTTCAAACCGACTGCATGATTTAGCTTTACATATGAATGAAAATCTATAAGCAAGGTCAAGAAACAAATCAGAAGCTCAAGGGAGAACTGATTCCAAGCTCCTACAAATCAACAGAGTATTCAGAAAGGAGTGAGTTCTTTGATCTTGTGTGAGGACCCCTGTTGGCTGGATTCTCATTTCACCTGAGATTTCTCTCTTTACTTTTTTGCAGTTTAAGTTTCTCCGTTAAGAGCCTTTGCTAAAATAAGTGCAATGGGGGAGTCTTCTCCTTTAAGAGTTTCCTTTTACCCTTAGGCTATGGAGCAGACATCCCTCCTTCTGACAGGTCTTTGTCCCACACACAGAGCCTGCTGCTGCCTTAGTCTTGTCAAGTGTCATTCCAATGAGCTCTCGGTCTTCCACACTTCTCCAAAGATCCGCTCATTTCTGGTCTGCTGGTTGCACCTCTCCCAGCGTGGTTAAGTTCATATAGATTTAGTTTTTATCCTTTTAACTCTTTTCAGAATCTGTCATATTTTCCTAACCATTGTCATTCTGCTTAGGTTTCTCTTCAGATGCTCCTCTGTCACTGTTCTTTATAGTGCCAGGTCCCCATAATGTGGCATAAATTTATTAGTTTACTATGACCACTGATAACTGGAAAAGGGCTCTCACTTTCTTCTTTTAAACATATATCATCTGAGTCATTTTCTCATAGCCTAAACAAATATCAGAATTGCCCACCTGAAAGTAAGGTGTCCTCTTCACAATTTCCGCTTACCAAGAAAATTTTCACCGTCATAAGTTTTCCTTTGTCAAATAGCTTATGACATATTTTAGAATGATTTTTTTAATATTGATTTTTTTAAATTTTTCACATCACTGATCATTTTTAAACAATATTTGCTTCCCCCCACCCCCTTAGGTGTAGTCCCCATAGAGTTTCCTTCCCCAAGGCACCCGTGCACCTTCACCTCAGTCCCCTGTGCTCCTCCCTCCCTCCCTCTCATCCCTCTCCCTCCTCCTCCCCTGCAGTATGTCTCTGATTTATAATTGTCCATTTTTGCTTTGTTGTGTTTTGTACTGTTATTATTTTTTTACACTGATGTCTTATTGGGTTCCCCTATATTCCTGCTATAAAGTAAGAATCTCTGGTCTAATTTATTTTTTTCTTTTTTTGATTTTTTTTAGCAACAAATAGACGAATAATCTTTTCCAACTCAGATACATCGAGCAGCACAAAGCCATATGATGCTCAACTGAGTTAGGGAATTGATTTTTTTTTTTCCTGTCTGAGGAATAGCTTTAAAAAATAAAATTGTTGCTCAACTGTACTCAAAAGTCTAGTATGTTGTCTTCTGTGACTACTTTCCCAGTGAAGTAATTACTCTTCAATTTTGACATACCTCCCATTTCTCACTTATTTTAGGGTTAATACTTTGTACTACAGAAAATGACATCATCCCAGGCTCGGGAAGAAGGAAACACATTCTGTTGAGGTTTTGCTATCACGTCTCTGAAATGAGGCGCCCTTAGCTCTCTTGGATCTTTCGTTTTGCTTCTGGCCTCTCGAGGGCGATGCTGCTCAAGTGAGGCCTTTGTGTTAGTTGCAGTGTCACCACATCTGTAGCCCCTCCTCTAACAGCCTGATACATCCTTACCATGTCAGTCTAGGTGGGCATCTGTGAGGAGAGGAAGAGGGCAGAAAAAAGCCTAATTTGTTAAGGAAAGTCTCTAACAGTTACTAAAACTTGTCAAACAAGGGACTTGTCCATCCCAGCCTCTCCTCTCCTCTGTCTCCAAAAGTTCAGCACCTCACTACTGCTGTGTCTGCTGGGACCCCGCGGCGTTCTCACTGCTCAGCCATGCTCCTGCTGCTCATCCCAGTGCTTGAGATGATTTTTGCCCTGAGTAAGTAACAGTCCATTTCTTTTCTTACTTTTTTTTTTTTTTTAAAGATTTATTTATTTATTTATACATGCACTGGGTACAGTCAGAAGCGCGGGAGGGTGAGAGAATTCACCAGAGCCAGAGCAGGGAGCAGAGCAGGCAGAAGGACCGAAGTACACTGCTGAGGGGCGCAGCGGGCGGCAGGAGAGGTCTGCGCGCCATGTGGGACCCTCCTCCGGTGGCCGGGGAGCAGCCGGGGATCGAACCGGCGCTGCAGAGGCTGCGGGCAGCTTCGCAACCCAGCGCTCAACCGCTGGGCCACCAGGGAGGCCCCTCTTTTCTTACTTTTACAAAAGCGAATGTGTTCTAATTGGAATCTGATCAGAGACACCTTTCTCTTCATGGTCAAGTCTGCCCTGCTTCTACTTACACAGCATTGATGTTGCAGGAGGCTCAGGAGCCCAGTCGGTGACCCAGCCCGACGCCCAAGTCTCTGTCCCTGAAGGATCCTCGCTGGAGCTGAAGTGCAACTACTCCATTTCTGTTCCACCATACCTCTTCTGGTACGTCCAGTACCCCAACCAAGGCCTGCAGCTTATCCTTAAATACACATCTGGAAAGAGCAGTGTTTCAGGCATCAAAGGTTTTAATGCTGAATTTGAAAAGGAAAAAACCTCTTTCCACCTGAGGAAGCCCACTGGAGTGACTCAGCCCAGTACTTCTGTGCTGTGAGTGGCACAGTGCCTGGGGCTGCAGGGGGAGCTGAGCACAAACCTGCTGAGATCCTGGGGCTTTCTCTGACTTAGTACTTAGCCTGGGGAGTTTTCTAGAAGGGGTCTTTTCTATGAAGGCATATAGGGCAGGGTGGTCTGAGCCCTGGGGAGAGCTTGTCTCCTGAATCTTGCTTCAACATCATTGCTTTGTGCATTCACAGAAACTTTGTCTCAGATGAGGTCTTCTAATGAATTTCTCCAGGACAGAGCCCCTCACCCAAGTCCTTACCCCCACTATCCCACTCCCACTGAGGAAAGTATATCATAAAATGTCAGTGTTCTGAAATGACAAAGGCAATCACTTGTAGCACTCACTGTTATAATTAGCACAGCCCCCGGTGTATGTTGATCAGTGTGTGGAAAGCTGACGCCCTGGCTGTCATGGTAGCTGACAAGTTATGCTGCATAAATTCTCAGTTAGGGCAACCTGTACATCATAAATTCTTAAGTAGTACCATATAAATTCTCATCCTAGGTGTGAAAGTTAATGCCTAGAACACACACAATATCTCACTGTGAGAGAGTAACATGCTTTAAAGTAAATTAGACATCACAATACCGAGACTTCTAATTTTATGAGTAGTCCACAAAACCAGTGAACAAATTGAACATAAAATTTAATGCAATATTAAAAATCTAAAAACACCGAGTTGTAACTGTTCTTTGAAACATTTCCAAGTGGAAAAATTGATGTCATCAACCTGTTACAGGGCAGGGAGAGGGGCAGCACAGACTCTGCAAACCTGCCTGCTCTAAATAGGTTCTGCCATCTGCTGCATCAACACAAAACATGAGACTTTAATGAAAAGGAACTTTAATACAATTAGGAAACAATACAGGAAAGGCAAAGAATATAGTTTCTAAAGCACCCAAGTTACCTGTCCCCTCGTGGTAAAAGTCCACCCGAAAGGGATTGGCCCAGAGCAAGACCCCAAAACCTGCCACAAGTCTAAAGCATCCTCCAGTGGGGACCCATAGAAAAGGATCAGAAACAACCAGACAAGTCTGGAAGGAAAAGAGCAAAATCAAAATCAAGACAAAAACTGCCATTTTCACCTCCCCACAAGTCTCACCCACATCTGTGTCACCCAGTCCACCACCAAAAGGGAAGCACAGTTTCTTCATATGTCTCTATGCTCCATGTGCCTCCCCCAGGTCTCCTTCTGGCTCTCCATCCTGCTTCCTTCCTTCCTCAGTCTCCTCTGAAGCTTCTTCTCTCCCTGCTCAGCTCCACCCTCCTTTTGTTATAGAGCAACCCCGATATTAAACGGGTTCCTGGCTGTGGGTCCTCACCCGCGCGCTTTAAAGGGACTTATGAATACTCTACTACAGACACACACAAAAGGGTTAATAAAAGGTTTTATTTACAAGAGAAAAAGAAATAAGGAAAATGTACAACTCAGGGAGAAAATAGGGAAATAAAGTCTTTAATGCGTCCTACCCCATCCGACGACCTGGAAACCCAAAGTCACTCTCAGAGCTGGCCTGGCCTGACGCTGCGAGCTGGCGGAGAGCCCAAAATGGGGGATCCCCAAAGCCCACGTGTCTGCCTTTTGTATCCACCTGGCTGCTTAACCCCACCCTCAGGTCCCAGCCACCTACCCTTTGGTGGTGATGGGATTTGGAGTTCCCAGTGTCTTTGGCTTTGACCTGGGGTGGGGGTGGAGTCCACAAAGCCTATATGGAATTTGCTTTGGGACATCCTTTTCCCCCTAACACTTTGGGTGGGTCAGAAAACCTGGAAACTCCCCTTTGCCTGGGGACCACCCTGTTACAGTTAACCCCTCCCAAATATACCAAATATAATAGATTAAATTACTGCAAACTGTTTAAGCATTCTACTTTAAGAAGTCACTCAAATTCAGAATAAAGTATGAAATTACAAACTCAGCAAAAATTTCAAGACTTTCCAAGCATATTAACAAAATTCATAAGAAAATAGACCTCTACTACCACAAAATACTATAGATTACTTAATTCTAATAGAGGCACCCAAGGCCAAGGAGCCTTTTCATTTTCTCTGAAACAATTATAGTAAAAAGTCAGTGTGTTTTAGATATTTTATATATGTTGATTATTTCAAATTTTTATTTGTGATTTGATTCATATAAGAAAAAAACTGCTCCCCAAAACATTACAAAGAGTTTACATACAAGACAGTTAAGCCTCATCAAGTCAATATTTCATAATTTCTAGTGGCACAAATTTTGAAATGAATCATTTCACTTCCTTAAAATATTTATAACTACCTAAATTTAATTTTTAAGAATGAAGTGTGGTAGTGATGGAGGACAGAATTAGGAAAAAAAACTGAAAAAGGAAGCATCACAAGACTAGAAACCTGGCTCACTTAAGGAGGTGGGGGCAGAAGAATTAGCATAACCATCCACACAGCTGTGGAAATGCAGGCTATGATCCTTAGGCAGGAAGCCTAGATTACAAAGCATAACATCCAAGCAGGTATTCCAGGGCGCATCCATATGGAGATCGAGCCCATTGTGGAATCTGCCCCCTTTGGGATTCTGAATAGTTATCCAAAATTAGCAACTAAACTGAAGGCTCAAAGGACTGAGCCCCTCCCAAATAGAAGACTCTATCAGTTCAGTCTCAGCACAGGTCTGGTCAGCAATCCCACTGCCCACCTGTGACTATGCAGGTGCTTCTTTTCACCAACTCTGTCCCTCTGCAGGGCAGCGGTCTTCCTGCTTGCCTGTGACTTGTCAAGGCCGCCCGCCTGCAACCATGCAGGCCTCTCTTAGCAAACCTGTCCCTTCTGGGGCAGCTCTTCCTGCCTGCTTGTGTCTATGCAAGTGTCCTTTATTCTTCTGTCCCTTTTCCTAATAAATCTTCCCTTTATATACAACTAATGTCTCTGTCTCGTGGAGAAACTCACCTGGGAAACTTGCCACGTGTCACTGAAATGGGAGCTCTGGTGAAAACTTTCCCAGAGTGAACCCAAGGACCCCGCACTCCAAACCCACAGACTCCGAAAACCACAACAGACGGCACCCAACATGGGATTTTCACATCATCTGGCGCCCAACAGTAGGATTTCTCCCTTATTATAAATAATGTGTCTCCAGAACTATGAAAGCATGCATTTAAAATAATTTCCTATGAAAATGAATAACTATAAGAAAGTGAAAATCAAAATCAACAAACAACTATGAACCAGAGACACTCTATGGGGGGTGGGGGTGGGGAGGGGAGGGATTGGGGTCAAAATAAGGGGGTTGCAATTGTATGGGGAATAGAAAAATATAATTTATTTTAAAAAAATAAAATAAAATAATTTCCTCTGAACTGATCCAAAAGGGAATAGCCATCTACATCCAAAGAAATACAGACTTGGTTTTTCTCTCTCTTATTACATCAAAGACATATGTTCTCACTTTTAGTTTCTTTGTCTTCGGTTGATTCATTATTTTCTAGATCTTTGCCACCTGTTCCAGTTTCCCTTTTATTCTCTTTTCATGTTTGTGTGGTTTCTATCTGACAGAATTGTCCTTTCATTCTATCTTCTAAGGCCCTTTCATATGCCTAGGTCACGTTTTTCAAGGAACAGGACTCACTCTCTGCTCTTAAAAAAGAAACATAGGAAGTGTTTCTCAGAGAATGGCTAAAGAAGCTGTGATAAATCCATTCTATGGAATATTATGAAGCCGATGTGTTAGCATCATAGACATCATCATAGACATATGATTGAATACCATAAGTCACGTTCTGACTATTAGTCATTTGGACATAGTCATCAGAGAAAATAATATATATGTGTATATACATATATATATATGAATGTAATCAAATGTCCTTTAAAATTTTTAATTAATAATAGAGTAGGCCATTATACTTATATCCCCTAACTTCTTTCTACCTATCTCCTCTTTCAATTTTATCTAAAAAAATCTCTATTCCACTCTCCAGCTGATATCACCCCTTACTCTCTTGATAACATTCCTTTCTATCTTTTCTAAGACACAGCCAAAACAATCATGTTCTCATGAAAACTTTGTCTAACTGTTCTGTTAAAATAAATGTTTCCTTATTTCTGTGTTCATTTTATATTTTTTGGGGGGTGCTATTCGGTATATGAAGACATAAATATGTTTATATTTCCTGCGATGCTGCAACATCTCGTGAAGAGGCAATGTTTCACTGATTTTTCAATTTCTTAAAATGAGCACAAGATCTAGCTTCCAGAAAAACTTTGATAAATTGCTGTAGACTTTTAAATAGATTGGAGAAATCACATTCAACCCTGACATGCAATTTGATAAAATATTTTAAGATAGTAACTTACATTAATGGCATTTAAAAGAAGAAACCAGATTAATTAAAAAAAATCCCCACCTACCTTGACAGTTCTTTTGTTCCTGGTAATCTGTAGTTGGTCCCCTGGAGTAAAAGACTGCCAGGTGCCCCAGGCCACTTCGGGTGTCTGCTGATGAGCTAGTTGCCATGATGGATTTTGAACACTAGGGGGCACTCTAGGCTTTCCTCTAAACAGGCACCTTTTCCCTCATGCTCTGAGATTGTTGATTCTTAGATACTGAAGATTTGAATGAGATTCAGGAGAGCATCTAACATAGTCATAAACCATAAAAACAGGGAGAATCTCCATATATTCATCTGCAAGGAAAATTCTGCTGCTGTGATGGATGTGGAAAAGGGGATGAAAAGTTGAAATGGAAGAAAAAGAATGAACATCTGGAGAGAGATGAGCTTCATCATCACCGAGCAGAACCAGCCAGGTGTACCTGCAAGGTGGTTGGGGAAAGTGTCGGAGAAGAAAGGAGATGGAGAGGGGCCACTTGGACACAGTGTACATGTCTGATTTCTCTTTTGGTCAGACTCTTATTGGAGACATTGTATTTGTATGAAAGTCCGAGGTTTTGTCGCCTATTAGGGCTGCAGCTTTGGGAGCATTCTGGGGTGAGGGAAAGATGACTCAAAGTCCATGTGGAGCAATAAGAAGCCTAGAGAGGTTACAGTGGGAGGTAATGTGCAGCCCCCATCCAAAGGCAGACTTGTAT